AAGTTTATTACCCCACCACCCCACGGGTACATTTTTTAAATTTTTTTGGAAAATTTTACCTGCATAAAAAATAAAATTTTTTTTTTACTCAAAAAAACCAATGGCTTTTGATTCAGGATCTCACGTCTCGAGAAAAGTATTGCCTGAGATTACGCACACAGGCACAATCAAAATTGAATGCCTTATATGGTATTGTATAGTAAATTGATATATGAGCCGCTCAGTGCACACATCGATTAACTCCACTTTTTGAAAAATCTTAAATTTAAGTGTCATAGCACTTGGTATAGTCATAACTTTTTATATTTATAATAACTTTCCTTAATAATAAAGATTAGCACCGTTAAACGGCACAATTTTTTTGGCCATTGAATAATAAGTAATTTACAATATACATTACTTCATCGCATTTCTCAACTTTTTGTTTTATGGAGTTAATCGATGTGTGCACTGAACGGCTCATATATGCATTGCGTGAAAATACGTTTAATACGGGGCTACCACCTGGCCCGGACCTTTACGAAAGTATGAACGTCTTATTGCTGTTAACGATTTTTGTCATTTCTTTCTTGAGACAATTAATGACTGTTTTTCAATGATAGGAATATTGTAGCTGCCTGTCAAAATTGAATGAGGTTCTGAAACAGTTTGAGGCATTGACTATCTTCAAGTGAAGAATTTGCGCCATGGCACAGACTCCAGTCGATACAAAGATCCCAGCTCAGGCAGAATAAGGAGGCAGAACTGCGTCTTTTGACCCTCGCGACGGTTCCTCCTGCCTGTCGGTGTAATAAAGTCTTGAATTGGTGGATCCAGAGAGGGCCGTGACGTTAGACTGAAAATAAGTCGTTAAAAAGGTACGTCGATGGGTTGCCCGAGTACACCAGACCACGTGGGGTGCTTTAGAAGCGAAGTAAACAACAACAACAATAAGCATGTATATTTAACCGCGAACCTGGTAAACCCGTAGTCCGCGAGGCTATTTATAAAAAGCGTCCTTCTATTTAAAACGCAAAGATGGAAACGTCGTTCCCAAACGTTCTGGGAAGGCTGTGCTATCTTTAACGTCGATTTCCCTAACCTTATCCTTAACCTCGGGCAAAGCCGATGCCAGGGTGCGTTCACCCCAGGCGGCTCCAGACGTAGAGAAATCGTTAGAGCGAGGCTGAATGGTCGAAGAGAGAAAGGACAGAGACGCAGGTAAAATCCTGATGAAACAACCCCTTGTCAATTCCAGATGACTCATTGTTCCGACCCTTGATCGAAATTCGATTAGGTCCAACTGAATATCCGTGTGTCTCTGTCTTTTGAAATAACAGGAGGACGTAATCAATAGGTAGAGGAAGGACGGATAACGTTAAAGAATTCTTTGTCACCATATGGAGTTGACGTCACAGAGAGTTGGTATCGAGCACACGGAATTTTCACGTGTTTATCAGTTCACATAAAATTGCCTGTAAGTCGTTAGAGACGTTCAAACTGCCAGATGGTCTCAGTACCGGGAAAATACCTAACCTAAACCAAAGCGCTCTATGCGGCTTATCTCGCCGTGCGACGTTTGCATGCACGATCGCATTCTGGCTACTAGCGTGTAACTACACGAGGACTCCGAGGAATATTAAGAAGATCGCCGGTAGCGGTGACAAGAGTAAAAATCCATCCTGATAAAAGTATATGGAGAATGTGAAATGAGATTTTAAGGCGAAATAAATAATAGGAAAAAGAAAAAGTGGTCACCCGGTTTATTGGTACTTCCTCAAATACCTTATGCTCGATATTGTCTTTATCTTTTACCACGCAGCTGCGTACACGTCGAAACCACCCGGATATCTTCCTGGCGAAAACCTCCTATCAGACCTACCAAGCGTATATGGGATACGTTTGAACAGCTGTCCTTATTGCGCAAGTGACGCATCGTTTCAAAAATATATACACGGTAATATATAGCGTGAATTCTGCCACCTGATTATGATGATCTAAATAATGAGAAAAAATTGTTTTACCTAGTTCAACAATAAGGTTACGTGGCTTAAAAACTGCCTGGTGGAAGAGAGGAATTGAACGTAAATTCGTAGCGTCGCAAAAGGAATCCGACGGGCCAACGGTCAGTTTGAAAAAATTCAAAGATGGCCGCGCGTCAAGTGGAGGATCATCCGCGAGCGATCTTTCGCAAGGAGAATCCGCTGTCCTTTACGACGGACGCTCGAACTCGCTTTCTCTCGTTGACGATCGTCTAGTGTCTCCGTGACTCCTCGATTCTCTACTTCGTGTCCGTACAGCTTCGTGTTTGCTGAATCAGTCACGCGTGAGTCACGTCTTGAGGCATCGTACCGGCACCAGGATGGGATCGTGAACGCTTTAACGGATTTTCCACGTCCCCGTACTGTATCGATGTATGAAAAGCACAGAGGAATCGCCATACTTCAAAAAAAGTACTCGTAAGGATGCAAGGAAAACTGTATTTATCATTGTTTTGTATACGTCGACCAATTGCTGAGGAATCCGACAATTTTATCCGGCTGATACGTACAGCTGACGAGTAACTCGGCGCGCATGCGCAAACTGTCAAATTCAATTTCCAATACCGGCCGTTAAGCCTCGTGTTAATATCGGGAAGTCTGTTGAATGAGAAACACGACGTTTATCTGGAATATAATATTCCTATCTGGTTAAGGATACATAGACATATTAACTGCGATTTAAAAATGCTCTCTAAGGGACACAGGATGACAGTTCCAACGGCATTCAAGGCCGGTCTATACCTCCCACGTTTGGGTGGGTTTTCAGCCCGAAGAAACCAACTTGTTTAGACAGCTAATGGAACGCACGATATAGGAAAGTGGATGTGGTAATACTATAACGTATATTTATAGTTATGCTATAGACAGGAAAAAAAAAGTCGATGAATCTTTTAAATAGGGATAAGAATTTTTGTTGGGAACAGCTGTACTATTTACTATCTTATCAAACGTATTATCACCGGAACGAATTTACATCGCTGGGAACGCGAGGAAAAAGTTTGCTGCCTCGTTAGAGTGTATGAAAGATAGTCACGAAAGAGAGGATAAGAGAGAGAGTGAGAGATACAGATAGAGAGAGAAAGTGAGTGAGAGTGAGAAACAACAAGAAAAAAGATATTCAATATGGCGTTGCGCTGCAGGGGACAGTGATCCCGCGGACTCCTATGGAATTTACTCGCTAGTCGATATATATATACGTTATACATATGAATGTTCTACAAACACGAAAAGTAACACAATTTAGGGATTTCAAGTAATTCAAACAGATGGCGTTTATAAGAATTCGCGGAACGCGATAAAAATTAAAAAACCGTTCGTTAATATGTAATCGGTATGAAACGAGGTTAAAATTAACATGAGTCACAACCTGGCAAAAGGTGAGTTAAATGTCTTATCAGCGTTGATAACAGTTTATATAGCAAATAAATTGTTGTACCAGCCAAGGACGACACCGGAAAAGAGATTCGTGAATTCATTCTTTTGAGCGCCGCGCCCATTTCACGCTTCTCGCTATGCAACAGCCTAGTCGGTGACTTCTTCAAAGAATACCAAGAGCGGATCTTCATTCTTGAATCGAAGATATAAAGGATGCATTCCGTGAAGTCATCCTTTGAAACAGCCTGTACGTCAACCGCGTGCTTACATTAGGAGGACCAAGAGAAACTCGAGAACCGTGACCAAACGTAACCTATAGGTAAGAATTTTTCCAAGCGAAAGACAAAATACTCCTGTCGCTGATAGGCGATGAAGCTGTTATCGCGACCAGAGTCAGAGTATCAGAATATCAGAGTGATTAACGAGAAGGAAAAGAAGCAATTTGACACGGGTGTTCGTATAATAACAACAGAACTTTAACCGAGTCCTTTCATCTTCGATAATCCCTCTGTAATTTTCCCAGATGGAAAATCGCCGGCTGGTACGCAGAGCAATGTATGCAGCGATTAAGTGACTTTCAGTGGAGCGGCCATTACTTGTTTTCCTGGCCTCCCCGCACCGTCCCTACTCCGAGGGGTCTAATAAAACGCGATTGGAAAGGAACGTTAATATGGAAGGAATCGAGAAAGAGACAATCAGGCAGACAGTAAGACAAACCGAAGAAGTAGAATTAACTAACAGTTTGGCACATAGACAGCGCTAGTGGCAGAATGACGAGTTTTCACGTGGCGAAGATCCCGTGTGCTTCGCCGTCTAAGGAATGCCGGAGTAATTGACAGCCGGCTGTCATCATGGATTTCCCCATTGACATTAGTAAAGCCGCTTATGAGATACCGCGTGCTGTCAACTAGATATACAGCGACTGGAGTCACCTATTGGAATTCCATTTAATGTTTGTTTAAAGGCCACTGTATTACTTTACTATAGTTAATTTGCTGGGTACTAATGATGCGAACGAGTAGGTGTTCGTTATGGTTGGGAAACTCGAGGCGCAGCCAATGGGGCAGGCATTAACGAGCATACGGAGCGACCAAATCAGTCGGGTTCTAGTCTGACCATCTTTGATCGATGAATTCATTCGAACCGTCCGCTTACCTGGCTATCTTTAGTGTACCTTATTCAGGAAACGTGACGCAAGAGAGTCAAGCTTCTCTTGAGTCAGAGCGTCACACGAAGTAAGTCCTGTGTCTAGAGAGACAGTTGGCTGTGGCGAGTTTAAATGGTAATCATAAGTAGATAGTGTTGTGACGGAAAGGTGATTTTAAAAGTGGCCTAAACGAAGGAGGACTGATCGGAAGAAGGGGTTGATCACTGGTAAAATCATCATCCCTCGTGCTCATCATCCTGAGAGTCTGTGCTAGGGGAATCATAGAGACAGAGAGAGAGAGAGAGAGAGAGAGAAAGAGAGAGAAAGAGAGAGAGAGAAACTGACAATGAATGATGGTAGGTCACTAGTAAAAATCGATGGACAACACTGGTTACTTTAGATAGATCCTTCTTAAGAATCTATATAGTCTATGGTAATATAATAACAATTCCACTCACGTAAATAAGCCCCGAGTAGTAACGATCCTTGAGATTGTGAAGTACAGATGCCTCGTTCAGGCAGGTCAGCTCAGCCATGTCCTCGACCTTGTCGAATTTCGGTGGATTCATCTTTTGGATATCGTCCTTAGCTACGAGGACACGTTTGCCGGTCTCGGCGATTTCCACCTCGACCTCATCTCCACGTTCTCCCTTTATCCCAGCAGCGACAAATCCCTGGCTCTCGTGAGGTACCCATACCAGCTTCTTCTGGGTCCATTCCGCTTGCGTCGCCGGATCGTTGAAGCTGTTCCTGTCCACAGAGAGGAAACGTAGCTCCGGGTCAGACCGGTCTACCCTCGAGTCCCCGTCGGCCATCTTTGTTTAGCGCGCACACAATGCGTCCGAAGTGCGCCGCCTTTCTGGCTCCGGTTATACCGTAAGTCGCGCGTCTCTTAACTCCAGGCCCGTTCCGGTATCTCGACTCTCTTAACCGGGATCCTCCTTTTATCTGGGATCCTAATACTCGACCTATCCTCCTATCGAATCTTTTACTAATATCACCCGTATCGGTAACCTGTCCGCGCAGTATCGGCCCTCCTCTCGAAAACTCTTCGCGCAAGCAAACCGCACATGTAAGACCTCCACCAGGGCACTCGCTCGGCCGCTGCCACACCACTTCTGAGTTGGGCTCCTGCCTGCCCGATTCCTCTACCCCATGCCTTTAGCCGCTCCCTCTTTCTCGCAAACGTGCTCCCTCTCGCGTTACCTCTCTCGGACGAGTCGCACAGCTTCAGTTTACCGGGTTGGCCGCGTGGCGGCGCCACCGTGCCGGCCCCTGCCACAGCTTTGACATCCAATGACCAACGAGGAACTTCCCTACCAATGATACAGCCAACTATTAAACATGTTTTCGTTAATACATACGTGGACACGTGTGACAGTGTGTATGAAATACTCAGTGCCGAATACGTGGCTGGCTGTTTTGTTCCAGTTTACTTATGTTTCGGCTTCGTTCTCTCTGGAAGGACTTTCGGATGATCGGTCAAGGATTTCGAAAGGGTGAACATATGGGATGGAGGTCCCGGGTCAATGTTGTTGCATGACGCACCAAGGGAACGTTGCAATATGTTATTTGTCATATATGGGTTTCCTAGGTTCGCAGACTAACGATACGTCTGATCCTATCTAGTCTTCGTGTCACATGCAATGTAAGAAGTTGTAATAGATTTCTTTGTTGATAAATATGATCAGGTTTTCATTGAGATATAACGCTTCAACGATTCCTTTCAGTATACTTTGGTGCCCTCAAGATAAAGTCTGCCTACGTCCCTGTAGGTACGTTAGCTCTTCGTAACGTCAGACACGATTTGAAAGCGTGTCTCTGTATGCGCGGGATAAACGGCCCACGAAAATACTATTCCAATCTCCTGGAACTCGACTTGCGACTCGCCATAGACTGGGTTTCATACACCTGTCTATTTTAAGGATCAACGAGCAGTCATCCTTGTCCACGTTAAATCTATTCGAATTTCTTGTTTATTCGAATCCTTTGGGAATTACAGTTCGTTACCGACAGAGTACCAAATCTATGCTCTCTTCGCTATATATATGCTACATGCAACAGTGCATATTTCGTTTTCGAACTTATCCCGGCGTATCGACCGTACTCGTTGTACTTATAAATACACAATATAGCCTCCCCGTATTATAATGAATCTATTGAATCTCATTTGCCAGCAGAGTCAGATTGTTCTTTTCTTAAATTTTTTTTTACTATTGCAAAATTTTAACCGCTCGGCGCTTTTCGCACCGATGAAAAATGGGGCTGTTGAACTTCTGACGGGACGCCCGTTGTCTTGAACACATTTAAACGTACCTACACAGGTGCTGTAACAACTTGTCTGTAAACGCGGAGTACTCAACACGTCATACTGTGCGTATGTGGGTGCGTGTTTTGAATACGCACATGGATCGGAGCCACTCCCGTACTCGACCTTGTCCAATCGAGCGGACAGAGGGAGCCGCTATCAATGAACGAGAAAAATTAAAATATTGCAGTTTTTTTCTAGTTACGAACGACATTCCTCGATCATAACCTAAGCCCACTTTAGTTTCTTAACTAAAAAGACTTAAAGTGCACCATCGATCTATTTAATTGTGATTAATCTCTAAAATCCTAAATATCCACTGAGCTGACTTTCTGCCTTTACCAACTGATCTTAAATATTCTAGATATCAGGTAAGGTTGTGTTGTTACTTTTGCACATTCCGCTGAAAGTGATACCATTTAAAGTGACTAATTCTTCTTGGAAGATCACTCGCTAATATCAGCTACTAAAGAAAAATCAGAACAATATTTCATCTTTGCATTTTTCTTATCTTGACTCTTTCATAACTGAAGTGAACATTGCTTCTAGGTATTACGATTCGAAAGCAAACGTCATAATAGGACTCTCAGGATTGGTCGTGCCCAGATAAACGGTTGACCATATTTTTCCTCTGCTGATTTTAAAAGAGCCAACTCACGGATTCACAGTAACTCCGCGGTTACAACGAGGCGTACAGTTTCGTGAAAAAGTCCTCGATCGTACTGAGATAACGTGGCGGCGATGTAGAAACATGAATTATTAATGCCCACCGGATAGTCAAGATGCTACGACACTCATGATATAATTCTTAATCCGAATGTACAAGAATACTTGAAGACTGAATGACTCAGAGCGCGAAGTCAGGGACCGGCAGATATCGGATTATTTATGTGACGCAACATAAATAAATGTCTGGACAAACACAAATCTCGAAAATCCTATAGGTTCTTACAATATAAAATTCGACGAGCCAAATAACTATCGCCCAGCTACTTTCATTATAATTACAGCAATTTAAGTATAACTACTTATGAGGCAATCTACCCCTTTGCGATAGTGGCTCGTAATTTTACATTTCTCTGAACAGATGGCAGTCTGCTATTTCATCGGTGTCCGCCAATCAGGATATCCATTGGAACATTTTTGCCAAATATGGCGTTCTTATATGTTTCGGCCATAAAGTGGTTAGAGGTCGCCAATGGGATGTTGAAGTTTTCGCCTTATGACGACAATGATGTATGCCGTACATACGTGCCACATAGGTACAAGATTTCTTGCCATATTTGGACAGACTAATCCTTAGATTGGATTCGTTTTGAAACTCTTCTGACAGGAAAGTAATGACCGTCTTTAACTTCGGCGCGCCTACTATGATTCATACCACGCACGCTTAAAGAACAAAAAAAAGAAACATTACAAAAATTTATTCATCGATAAAAATCGTCGCACCTGATCAAACGATGAATACGTCAACTGCAGAATTTTAGTTACAAAGATAACTGTATACGCAATATCCTAGACGAATTACTATAACTCTTAAATATTATGTTCATGAAATACTAGGGGGAACATTAAGACACGATCTACTGTATAGCGATGATAAATACTGATAGATCATTCGATGAATATAAAATAATTACATAGCCTATAAATTTAATCGTTTCATCGTACCCTTTGACCTCAGCAAATTTTTCATTGTTCACCTTAAGCCGCCAACAGGTCGCTTTTCCATACCACTTGACCCTGAATCCAAAATAGCTCATATCAACCAAAAGAGATAACACTGCTCTTGATCACAAAATATAATACAATGTCGTGAATGCAAGTTGCACCGAATACAAAATGACTATCGTTATTCGTCACAAGCTACTAGATGACAGGCAATTACTATTCCCATTACATACGATGGCAATTAACATTGCCATCAGTGCACAAAGAGAAAGAGAAAGATTGAATAAACTTAACATGATAAAAAATTCTTATCTCAATCTTTATCTTCCTTTTAAAAAATCTTACCGCACAATCGTAAAATATATAATTTCGAAATTGCATTGATCCACTTCTCCTTCTATTTATGAACTGAATTATCAATTGTGCTCACGCTAACGACTTTCTGATAAGCCGTCATCGTGTTACTTAAGAACAGTTGGCTACGGTTCCCAAAGAGATCTGGACTCATTGCGCGAAAGATGTCATCTTACGGTGTTGGTATAAGCGAGGAGACACGATCTTACGCAACAGCGAAAAACGTGAGTGAATTACCTGCGTTGAAAACGTGAACGTTAAGATGCAATGACTACGTATCGAGTGACATAAAAAAAATCTTGTTTTCAGGCTGTTATCATTGATCTGCGAAGTGACACGCTTACCAAGCCATCCGAGGCCATGAAGATGGCAATGTATAACGCTGACCTCGGAGACGACGTATACGGCGAGGATCCAACTGTTAAGAGTATATATATATATGAAAGCAACAGCTGACAAATCATTATCAAATAGCAATTACTTAATTGTTGTTTATACCTTCCATAAAGTCCAGTTGATGCAGCATCCACTTATGTGATTGCAGAACTGGAGAAGAAAGCAGCGGACCTCCTGGGTAAAGAAGCGGCCGTATTTGTAACGTCCGGTACAATGGGTAACTTGATCGCCAGTAAGTCATTAATTATTGATCGTATGAGTTTACTGCCTGATTGATTATTGATATTGAGACTAATGACTTCTTGTTCTGTCAATCATTAGTCATGAATCACTGCGACGTGCGCGGTAGCGAAGCTTACTGCGGAGAAGAATCGCACACGAACTTACATGAACAAGGAGGTGCTGCACAACTGGGAGGTGTGACGTTGTCAACATTGCCAAATGAGTCTAATGGTACTTTTGACTTGAAAAAATTGGAATCCAAACTCCGTTCCGATCGTCTCCATGAACCAATCTCAAAATTGGTAATCGTTGAGAATACAATTAATGGTAAAGTTTTGCCACAGTCCTGGATCGATGATTTGGTGATCCTGGCAAAGAAACGTAATTTAAAATTGCATATGGATGGTGCTAGATTATGGAATGCCTCTGTTGCTTCCGGTATACCTGCTAAGGATATAGTTTCCGGTTTTGACTCTGTTACTTTTTGCTTGAGCAAAGGATTGGGAGCGCCAGTTGGTTCTTTGTTGTGTGGAAGTAAGTCCTTTGTTGAAAGAGCGAGGAGAATCAGGAAGGTTCTGGGTGGTGGGATGAGACAAGTTGGTGTATTGGCTGCAGCTGGTTTGGTGGCCATCGATGAAGTAATTCCAATTTTGAAAGATGATCACCGAAGAGCTGCTTCCATCATGACTGCTATCAATGAAATGAAGTCAAGAATATTTTCTGTCGATTCAAAAACAACGCACACTAATATGGTTATGGTTACTCTGAATGGATGCTCGGCTAAAAAGTTTGCTGAGAGATTACAGTTGGTAGCTGATGATGATAACGATGATGATAAGGCAATAGTGAAGAGTCTCGCTTTGAACGAATCATTGGTTAGATTTGTACTATACCATGAGATCAATGATGAACTACTGAACTCAGTTATTCGTAAGGTCAGATACGTTATCAAGGAACTGGATCCTGTATTGAATTCTTAAAAGATTTAAAAAACGTTAATTAGACTTTGTGTATCTTACTGAGACAACGATGACGAGTCAATGATCGTTTGAAACGTGTCATTAGTATACATGGAATAATAAACGTACGCGTATTGGGCACCGTATTGTGTTGATATTCAATAAATTGATTTACTATCAAATATATAAATGAAATCTTGATACTTCGTTTCACTGTAATCCTTTATTATTATCTCCGTAAGAATCCTCCTGTCTTTACAGCGACAGTAAGGGTAAATCGACCTTATCAGTTACCGTCAAGATTCGTGACAATTGAATCCGGAGTGATGCGCGCACTTCTGTCACAAGATTACAATGCGTTAATATTCAAATGAGTTAACGTTCTCGCAAAAAATATTACGTATTGGATGCTTCGAGAAACGCTTTCCGTTAACTCTGAAAGGCGTCGTTGACAGGTTCGTCGTCATCTTCATCCTCTTCGCCTTCGCTTTCGAAAGTATTGTCCGGAATATCATAAAGTCGAATCATCGGCTTGTTGGGATCCTTCATGATCAGATACTTTCCATCCTTCTGCTTGAGACAGATGTCAATGATGCATCGTAAAATGCCCCAGGCGTTGTCCATGTTCAAGTTAATCTGGGTCGCGAATTCGTTAGGCTTGTACTGCTGAGTTCCCAGGATGACGTGTTTACTGGAATCTCTGACCATAGCGCGAGACACGTATCCGAACTTAAGCTGATCGGATCCTGCAAGTAATGCTTGAACGGTCCACTTGGCAAGTTTGCAAGCATTGTTACGTAATTCATTGGCTAAAACAGCACCACGTTGGGTGTCAAGCTTCTGACGCCATTCTACTCCGTTAGCCAGTTTTGAATCCCACTCGTTTAAAGCCTTGATGGAGAGGAATTGGGTCTCGTTGTTAGGACCCTGCATTACTGCGTCGTGTTCACAACGAGCTACAAGGACGACGCCATTGTTCAAGTCCCATTTACGATATCTGTAGGCCACACTGGCAACGTCACTCTCTTCTTCTTCGGAGATAAAGGGATTTCCTTCTTCAAATTTGTATCGAGGCTCATTGGATTTTAGTACTTGCTGCGAGAAGTTGTGATTGATGAATGTTGCTTCCAACGCAAGATTCCTAGGTGAATTTAAGGAATTTCCATCGTCCTGCGGTGGCTCAACGCTGGTCTCATTCACAGTAAGTAGATCAAACTCGGTGTTGTCACGCTTATCGAAGAAAAGCTTGTCTCCTATCTTTTCAATGACAATGTCCCAGGAATAGTTGCTACGAGTGCAACACATGATGGTAGCTAGGATGGCATCGGTTGCATAGACATTACCTTCCGTCTTTGAGAGTTTACGGATAATTGGATCATCAGTTGTGGTAACAGTATGGAAGATACGGTCAATTCTCTGTAAAGGCTTCTCGTTCTTGACATTAACTCTGTCGTAGGTCTTGTCGTAATACTCCAATGAGCCACAGCATAGAATGTCCTCTCCATCTTTTACTGCAGGAAGCGACAGCTTGGCTAATCGAGGGAAATCCATCTCCTCGATGGTCACCCAGTCAGGTCTTACAGTGACAGATGCATCACGAATTTTGATCGGTGGCTGATTCTTGTGATTCCTCAGACCTTGCTGACGACCCCAACGTTTAGTTTGACCCTTGCGTTCACGCTCTCGTAATTTCAGTTTACCAAGCTGTTGCATTTGATTCAAACCACCACGCTGACCACCCCGGCCGCGCATATTTCTTTGATTTTGACGGAAACGACCACGTTGATAAGGTGGTTTCTGTACACGAGTGGTGTCCACCAAGTGGAAGGTTGATTCATCTTCGTCATGGTAATAGGCATATTGACTGCCAGATCCAAATTGAGATGCATATTTGTCTAAAAATAATGCATACGAATTCATATAGTTACAAAATAAACAAATCATGCAAGAGTGACAGGCCTTTTCGAGGTTAAGAATTTACATGCACTGATGACACGAATAAACTTACTGGCAAATTTCTTGTCTTGAAAAGCGGCACCGGTCCAGTCGGATATCTATAAAGAACAACCCATAATAATGAATCCTGAGCATTAATATCAGTCGAAGCATGCTTCTACTGGCATATGCCTTTTACCTTGCCAAGCCTGTCCCCTTTGGAAAATGGCTGGTACGGAATGTCCTTAAACTGATCCGGTAATTCGCATGGGCCCCATCCGTCAGGATTATCCTGAATGGCAGGCGCCTGGAAATGCGCAACTTCTTCCTTTTGGACGGGTTCGTCTAGCGGCGGCGCGTCTTCTTCGGTCGTAATCATTTCACAAGTGCAACATGCATAGAAACACCAGACACAACGAGACACCGCACCGGATTCTTACCGGACGACCGGAAAGAGTGTTTCCTCCATTAACGCGGCCATCTTGGACGGCACGTTGCAAATTTTAATATCCCCATAAGACTTTACTAAACAATAATTAACAAAGTTTTACAGAAATATTGTATAACTCTCGATGCCAATAAGTTTATGATAAAAAATAAAGTTACATCAATTCATTTATTATATTTAATTTTTGTGAATTAATTGCATAACGAGTAACAAATAATTTATAACAATCGGAAAGAATGTAATTTGACAAGAATTATTTGTGTAGATATAAGGATTAAGGTTGATAACAATCAATTTTAGCGTTCCTCATAATTATTTATTTTCGATTAAACGACGTATCTGTTGGTCTAGTTTTCTTTAGAAGGTTGGTGGATCTGGAGCGCTAGGTGTCTGCTGGTGTTCGATATGCGACGCTACGTCAAAATCAAAAGCATCATCAAAAACGGTGTTAAATTATTAATTCGCTTTAAGAAAATTCCTGTAAAAATATAGAAAAACGAATGAAGATGTTGGAGGATCATGTGCTGTTCAATCAACTTTGTGAAAAGCGTGGTATTACCCCGCCGGCCGAAGTTTTGGAGTCTGTTAAAGTTGGCAGGTAAGTTGTTTGAAGTTGGTACCACTTGAAGTTTGTCATAGACGGTTAACTATAGAAACATCGGCGCTGTAGTCGCCCCATTCAAATTCAAATCATGCAAAGCTACCAACACGCTTGCTCCAAAATCATAAACATTAATATAAACAATTTTTCTGTTACAGTTCAACAGGTGAACTTCAATTATCTGGCTTATCAATAATGATACCAGTTTGCGAAATAATAAGTAAAATGCTCGCATCCAGTTCCACGATAAAATCAATCGATCTAAGCGATTGTATGCTCTTATCAAAAGGCCTCACGAGTATTCTAAATGCATTGTGCGAGGGTTCCAGCGTGATTTCACTAAATTTAAAGGGAAACAACATATATGGTTCAGTGGTAGCACAACTGGGCGAAGTCTTTATCCACAACAATACTTTGAAAAAGTTAAACATCGAATGGAACAGTCTAGGATCAGATGTAGATTCCTTCAAAAAATTTTGCGAGGGTCTCAGCAAAAATCACAACATCGAGGAATTGGATTTACGTTACAATCAAATATCGCCACATTGTGCAGACGCTTTATCAAAGTCTTTAAAGTACAACAAATCCCTTAAATATCTGGATCTGGCATGGAACACACTGGGTCTACAGGGTGGTGAATTAATTCAAAATTCACTTCGCGAAAATAAAACTCTCCTTAAGCTTAACCTACGCGGCAACTGTATACCAGATGAAATAATGCATTCGATCGAAGATCGTGTCTACGAAAATCGCTGTAGACGAGCAATGTCCGACAGTCACGTATCAAAAAGCGTCGAGATAGCCAAAAGTCTCGTTTTCAAAGAAAACATAAAGCCTGTATCGTTGAGCGATAGCGACAGCGCTGTCCAAACAAAATTGAAGTACCTGAGAAGAAAGAAATGTCGAAGAAAACGAAGGAAGGACGAAAAATGTAAAACTTCTGAAGCGAAATCAAGCCCAACTGAAAATTCGTCAAACGTAGAAACCAAATCTGACGATTCCTTGTTAACGCTCAAATTAGCTGTTTCAAATGTGACAGAGTCAAATATCACAGGACCTATGGAGACGCTGATGAATGATCAGAATTTAAAGATGGCCGAGGTCAACGACAAGATCAGGGAGTTGAATCAAATGCTGCAGGATCGTACAACGGCTATAAATTTGTTGACAAATGAAATAGCAATAAAAGCAGCGGAAGTGGACGCCGCACGATCTCAGGCCAATCAATTGGAGACAGAGGTTAGTCAATTAAAAGAGGAACGTGATAAATACACCGCAGAGAAGGCGAAAGAGATACTCGAGCTGAAAAGGGCGCATATGGAGTCTGAAGAAAAATGGCAGGTGTCTTACAAGAACATGGAAGAGTCTTACGATAAAACTTTACAGAGTAAAAAGGAAAGTGATATGAAAGCTCGACGCTATGAGCGTGAAATTCATAAAAGCACCTTGGAGATAGCCTCTCTGAAGGAAAAGCTCGTGTCTACAACTCAAGCTTACGAAGACTTAATATCAAGAGGTAAAACGGAAATGCATCGACTCCGACGTGAATTGAAGGAACGTGAGGGTCGGCACAAAATCGAGATAAATATTTTGAAGAACAGTTTAAAAGAGACAACTCGAGCTTTGGAGGAATGTCAAGCGCAGCTGCAGAAGACTCGCAGTGAGCTTCGCGAAACTATTGAGAATCAGTCACAGCTGAAAGCTCGATTGATCGAGATGGAGCACGTGAACGTAAGGTGTAGCAGATCAGAAGAGTCCTTGCAGAAGGTGAAGGAAGAAAAAGCTGCGCTGGATGAAAAGCTTCAAGACTCTCAAAGGATCGTTCAGACGTTACAGCGTCAAGTGGCGTCACTTCAGAGTGAACTGATTGAACCTCAGCGTCGTTACAGTTTATTGAAAGACGAGCTGGAACAGGAGAAACAGAAAAGCGGAAGTTTGAAACAGGAACTCGCCGAGGAACGGTTCAGGTTGAAGGAGCAGTCTGTACAATTGCAAAAAATGACTTTGCAAATTACAGCACTGAATACGCAGATCAACGAGATACAGACCAGTCATGCTGAGGCTCTGCGAGAACGTGACAAAGAACGAAAACAGCTCAAGGAAATGATTCTTCATAAGGAACGTGATTTAAGCGATTTAAAGTACGTAATCGTTATTCACTTAATTACCGTACTGATTACTTATTTTACAATCCAATAAAAACCTCCTTTATTTGCAGGGCCGAGGAAGTACAAAGAGCTGGACAACTTTATGCGGCGTTCAGTAAATATTTGGGATCGATCGGACCCAATCCACTTTTATGACAGATCAATCAAAGCAGATACTTAGCTGAACCGCTCAATCAGACTGCTTTCACTTTGTATATAACTTTTATACATTTGTACTTCTATTTATTGTTAGACGTCATTTATCCTCCACTGGAACTCTGTACGCATCCATACATAGAAGACTGACCTGTAACCATGGAACAAAACATAGTGTGATAATTTTGCAAGAAGAATTTTTTCCAAGAAGGAACTTTGCTTTCTTTTTTTAGCTTATCGATATCCATGAGAATTTATTATAGGAACATATATATCAAGAATCTAGGTTAATAATATCGTGTGTACGTTATCGATTGGATTTCAACAATATCGTTCACTTCCACGTATTCAACATGTCACGTCAAGCCATATTGTATATCCGTAGACAATTTGCTATTCGCCATTGAACATTTTTTATTCCCACATACGACTGGCACTTCCATTGAATTCGTGCGACCTCGAGCGACATTTGATTTTATTATGAGTGAACGTTTACGTAATCGTTAGCAGAGCCAGGGATGAATTTATTTTTAAAAAGTTCACGGTTTCATCCTTCAAGGCGTAAGAACGATTTTTGAATTTGATCACGCGCGTTATTAGCTCCGCCAGTAAATAGAATTAGAAAGAGCATAGAGAACGTATGTGAGTATGTAAATAAATAATACTTGGCATTCTTACAAATGGCTTTGAAATGTCACTGAATGCTTTTGCTATTACGGAATTCTTGTTAATGATAAAAAATGATAATTTTATTCATGTAATACAAAGCAGATATGGCGCCAGTACAACAAACTACACATACCTTGAGTATAGTGAATCTTGACTTAGATCAAATTAATAAATGACTTAAAATCACACGAATCGTAATTCTTTTCTACGTGCAAAGTGAAATACGTACATCATTCTGGCGCGTCGCTCAAATTTTATCCAAACAAAATTTAAGAGGCCAAAACTTTGACGCTTCGTGCAAATAAAATTTATACATCAGACACGTAACGCGTGACGTCACTGTACCTTATCCTTACGTATCCAGTGTCCATTGTTTGTTCTACTTTATTGAAATTCCACGTAATACAATTTGAGCTTATTCGAAGGTTCCTTGCGTCGTAAATCGACTTTATTCGCGTCTCTAATTTCGCCTGAGACGCTTCTTCGCTTTTGCAAAACACTTATCGCTAAGTGCGTTACACTATTGTAATATATGTATATATATATATACGTACTCATGCATACCAATTCCAAGGAAGTCGTTTATTCGCTGTGCATTGGCGTCGGAGCGGTTTTATTTATACGTGCCCAGTCGAATTCCTTGGTTGTGCACGACTGCCGGGAAAATTTTCTAGGAAACGTTCCAGGATCATAAGCAGGAATTTATAAAGACCTTTTTCGTACGAGTCTCATCTGTAAAATCACAAAAATACGATTAGGGGAATAGAAGTCGTAAGATAATTAAAACGAGAAAAAAAAAGTTAGCAAATTTCTTAACGAAACTTGTCGAGAAATTGTTTACATATAATTTCATTAAAAAAAATAATTTTCGTTAATTGATAAATAAATCTTTGATCGATTAATTAATTGCATCACTTTTTCTTTTTATTTACTTACATCTAGCTTCTTGTCTTATCGAATGATCAAGGTTTAACGCAACTGTTTAACACGAAGACACTGGTGATTAATAAATCAAAAACAATAAAACTATTATCAACGATAATTTATATCTCGAGTAACCTTAACCTCAAATCCTCAAATAATTACGACAAAAGCAATATCGGCGTCTTATTGACGGCCAATGCTTACGCATTAAGTTATTGCTCGTCACGGGAAATCGCGAGAAACGGCCCTATCTGCTTTTATGTTTATTACGCGATTGACTAACTATATCAGTCGTGTTATGAGATACATATGCATATATACATTCACATCGTATATCATACGTGTGTAGATACGTATACGTCAGTCATAATCGTAACATCAATCAACAAGGCCTGGAGGACAGTAGCGCAGCTGCCAGCAAATGACGGGTGTTCGATAATTACCGATCCCCAGTAAAATATTAAAAGTTAATAAGAATGCATACAATTTGAATAAACTCGTCACAAACACGTATCCAGCAGGTCTCGATTTATCAGTAACCTGATTAGTACATCGAATTTCCTAAAACCTCTGATATTTGTTATTCATCAATAACATAAGCAATGATCATATTGTATATTAATTGTTGAGTGTTTTTTTGTTTATATACACGCGTTTCAACCTAACCCTACTTTGACGGTTTTCTACTCTATTTATCCTTTGCAATGCACGTGCAGATGTCGTTTCGTCATTAAGGAAAATGAAAAAAAAACTCACCTCTTATCGCAGTCAGCTATTTGATGCAGCTCTTGCCTTATCCTTAATCGTGTAACATACTTTAAATTGTTTTGTTCGTTGTATTTACCTTTTTCGTAATTCACGTCTAGTAGTGACTTGCACGTCCTGTCAATTTTCGTGAAAAAACTGTTTGTTCTCTTGATTAAATTTCCCATGAATTCTAGATTCAGATTTCCAGGAAACTCGTTTGTCTACGTGCATTTTGACTGATCGTTAACTGGCCTAAGAAATGTATGTTTTAAGATTCTTAGTTTTTTACGGTCTCTTCTGCAAGTACTGCCCGAAATAGGGTTAACCTCTGATAGAAGCCAAGTCTGTGTTGCGCGAATTTGGCTGTCTCGTTCATACCGAATATCTGTCGATTCACCAAGTAATTCTTGCCATAATTGCGTATGCTTGTAAATTCTTACAAAACTATTTGAAAAAGAAAAATACGTAACCCTCGTTGCGCAGTTACCTTATCTTAGCAAAATTTATATTAAATGATTAAAGTTCTAACAGACTCTTCCGTAACGTTAATTACGAACGTCGTTCAATCGATCGGGTCTTCTCGGCTTTTCTCGTTGGCGCATGCGCACTCGTCATATGGATTCGTTATGAAATTACGCACGTTACAACGTAACGTTTATTGTTTCGAAACGTTGTATAACTTTTCCGTAATTACGTCCGATACGATTATAAGACAGTGTAAAGATGCCCTCGTAACCTCGTGTACACGCAGGGCGTCAGGTTTAACGAGAAATACCATAAGACGGTGGCGTCTGGCGTTCTTGACATAACAAAAATGTCCATATTTCAGCGAGCGTCCGCACAATGTCCTGGCACACTTACTTACACTTGCGTAAACCTTTCAGATGGCTAACGCGAATCGCGAATACCGCGAATTCCATTAAATTCACGTACGATACGTAAACGAACGCGAACCTCCGCCATTACCGTAAATTAATATTACGTTCTCGCGTGCTGCGACAATAACACGATTGACAAACAGTACTACGATAAATGGATATGAGGAGAAATGATATAAAAACTGCCAAGATGATTCGAGTACTGGTAATAAATAATTCTTTAATAATTTAACTTGTGGTCTATACATTCTCGTCGTAATATAAAATACATGGTTTTATTTATTTGAAAAACTTATCATTCAACTAGGTAAAAGTTAGGCAGGACCCACACGATATACGACTGAATAAATCGATATATAAATACGCTTATACAGACACCAAATAATCGTCGTTATTCCCTATTATAAATTACAGTCAGATTATTGAAGGCTCGCCAGAAATATTCGTATAGAGAGAAAGATAAGACATTTGCACGTAGCAAGGTAGAAAGTAAATTATGCTAAATAATCAATTGCTAATGCAACGGGAGTCCCTCCTCGATTTTCGTCGGTAAAGATGTACACAGTCGGTATCATTAGGGTCCATTTCGCTCGTGAGGATTAAATCTGATTTGATCGTAAAGAACGGAAAATCGTAAACGCGCATGCGCAGAGACAGTTAATTCGAACAGTCCTTTCTCTATTATTTATCTTTTTCGTCACTCAAACCTTCGCTAGCTCAAATTTTAGTTCTCAAGAGAATCGTTCGCAAACGGTATACAAATAATTGAACATCTAATTCCACTAAAGGGTCGCTACATAAGAATGCCTCTAATATAGAGACACCTTCCCGCCTAATTAGATTTCTACATATACATATATATAAATGCACGCATACGTATTTTCAAATTTTTTTCTTCTACACTCGCAACGAATATCGTAATAAAAACGCGACAGGCTTATATATACTTTCGTCACATGCGAACGCGTACAAAAATATGTGTATTCGTGTATATATGTATATATATATTTATATCATACAGTGGCTCAACGTGCTCGTGTTTTTCAATGTCAATTGTACCTGCCATATGCGCGTAGGTGTATGTCTTTTTGAAAAATTCTTTTACAGGCTTTTATAATAATAATAATTTTTTATCAACTCCCCACAGTAAATGGTCACGTACAACAACGTTTGTGGTCATGATCTTGTTGACAGATATTTACAGATTTTACGCTCGAGCATACCAATAATCGGTTGCCTCTCTTTTTTCTTGCTTGATACTTGGCTCCTTTCCTTTTTCAAAATACAGAACAATCACTGACGGTATTGACAACGTCCAACCGTATTTACGTTGATCGAGAACAAACATTTAAAATGCTTACGACAAGTCTAGTTCCGTTCGATCGTAATACTATGTAATCGGAAGAACAAATTTGTCTGTACGTAAGAAAAATAGAAAAAAAAAGAGAATCACGAAATTAATTCTCTTCCAGCCGTCCACGTATGCGTGACCATTGTTAAACCCGAGCAAGTAGATACATTCGTCTAAACCTAATGACGCAACGAATTAAACCATTACGTGTGCAGCAATAATAATAACAACACGCAGGACTAATTATCTTCGCAATAACGAAAAAGACGCTCCTCTCTCTCATTAAACTAATTTAATCTCAAAAAATGAATCCTCGAGATTGCGCCAACGCGGGCGGGCAAAAGCGCACGAAAAAAAGACAAATAAAAGAAAAGTAATAACAGCGAGTATTGCGCAAGATGAAAAAAATATTTTTTTTTCAAAATTCCCTTTCACCCGCTATTTTTCATTTTCCACGTGATCCCGCTCTTCACGAACAACGAAGCTCCGTCCTGACTTTCGTACGTCAAATCCGAAAATTTTCCTTCCTTCACAATGAATCTGTCTTTTTGCTACACGCTCGCTCTTAAAATCCTAATTACATGGTACACCTTAATATTAACGAAATTCAAAATTCGCACCCTTGCAAAAATATTGGCAAACCTCGTGTATTACAATGGCAACGTTGTCGCTCGTTATCATTGTTATGCGATGCGCACGTGCCCACCAGCATTCAGTCTAATTAAATAATCTAAAGAAAACAAAAAAGTCTCGTGGCTGACCGCGCATGCGCACTGACACGAAAAGTATCGTCGTATCAACTGTCATTCTCGGGAACTACAGATACCCACTCGAATGCCTTTGTGGCCGTATACGAAATCCTCGATGCTTTCGAATGAGCACGAGACTTCAAATAACCCAGGATCATCTTCGAGAAAGCGGACACTGACGCTTGTCGCGCGTTTTTACCCAGCGAAACTTTATGGCCCTGACCACACGACATTGTGATCCTGAGAATGTAGTGTATCGATAAAAAAAAAAAGAAAAACAAATTTTTGTTACATTTTCATTACAAATCGACTATAATATTTAATTATGAGCGCCAATTGAACCCGTGAGTATATTCCCTAGTCTGGAACCTATTCTCTGGCAGTATTTGTTCCATTGGGCACTCCTGGGTACAACGAACACCTTCGGTCTCAAGGGTATGTATATGGTACCCTATCCGATTCCAGGTTATCTTCGTCCCAGAGTAACGGAAGTGGATATTTATATACATGTAGAATTCTATCCTGTGTAGATATACATTCACTAATATTATGCTGCACTGACTAATCTCAAGGATCTCCTCGGGATCGCGTGTATCCAGGAGAACCCGAAAGGGAATATAAAAGAAGAAAAAAATATTGAAAGAGAATAAGGAAAATTAAAAAAAAAACAGATCCAAGAATTCTGTATAACTAGCATACTATCGGCCAATTCTTTGGTCATACACGGTGTACCATATCATCTTGGATTTCGTAAATAAAAAAAAAAATCAAATTTAATTTAATAAAGTAATACGCTTTTAGATCCAGACAGATAATCCCTTGGTCCCACCCTGGAAGTCGCATAGGAACCTCTAACCAGAACGAACGGAGCGCGATTCTCCAGGATATAACGATATAGAAAAATAAACCTTGTTTCGCTTAGGAGTTACTTGTGGAAGAATATATAACGGGTGGTCGCTTCGCGATCGCTCCTAAAAAATATCTCCGCCTCGTAAAAATATTCCTTACAATTAGTTAAGGGGTCGATAGGTCGCACGGGGTCAGCTTCCGCTATCTTGGTACACTTACGACACCCTGTATAAGACATAGTCTCAGAGCGCGTAGGGATACTCAGCAAGATAATTACGAATGAGCGGAGGAAGATCGTCGGTGGGTATTTTCGCGCGATTAACAGCCAAACGTGCTAAATGCGATAATGACCTAACCTCCTTTACGAGGGGCTTAGCGAAGTAAATCTGACTGTAGAGCTGACCGCTGTGATCGACCCAGACTTCCCGCTTCTCGTCCATCCGTTTCGAGTAGTCCACGTAGTACTCCAGCATCTTGATGGGACAGTCGAAGTGAGGCATGGCCAGGGCAAGACGTGGCTCAGCGTCTAGCCGGAAGTGGCCCAGGAAGTAGTGAACGCGGACGGAAGTGGGTCCCCTGGACGTCTGCACGGAGACGGCAAAGGTGAAGCGACTGTCCGAGCTGTCTCGAAGGAGCCATCGTCCAACCGGTGCTTCCCGAAGAAGAGCTTCGCTCTGCTGCCAGCTGAGACCTTCGTGGTACCATCCGGAGCACTGAAGAAGTCGTCGAGCGTCGCTGAGACGCACTAGGAGATCCTTGTCCAGGTGGTAGTTATCGAAGCCCCACGGACAGGGCATGAGCCAGGACACCGGGGTGGTCGGAGCACCGTCGCGACGCTCTGTCGGCGCAGCCGTTCCAACCTCAGCGGGCTGGACCAACCCGCCGCCGTTGAAGTTGTTGCGACTCCTGGTGGTAGCGTTGGACGTGGGATTGGTACAGTTGGCTGCGGTAGTCGTAGCGGTGATATTAACGGTGCATTGTCCTACGTTAGGTGGCAGCTGGACGGTAGCGTTGACTTGAATGACAGCCCCGGAAGTGGTCTCTTCCAGTGAGCTCCTCCCCGAGTACAGCTGAGACTGCTTATGCGGCTGAGTGCAGCATCCATGCTGATGATTACCAACAGCCGACCCAGCACCTGGCGAACACGGGATCTGCTCCTGGAAGCTGTTACATCTACCTGAATGAGCTTGCTGGTCATAGACCCCAGAGGAACGGTGACAGCCGTTGAAACCCCTGCAGCATCCATGGACCAGATTGCGGTCAGCATCTGACAGTCTTTCCTGATCCTTTCTGGGACTGCTGCTGCGACGGGTACCAGGCAATTCCTGGCATCCGCTAGGTGGTACGCAGAGCATCGGATGTGGATTCTGAAAGATCCCAGCTGGACCAAATGATCCGCAGCCTGTGACGATATCCTCGTCATTGAGAAGATTTCCAGGATCGGATTCGTCAGTTGAGAACTGGGTCTGGACCAGGCAGCCCCCACCGGACAGTTTAGGTCTGACTTCGATCCTGGGTGCCTGGACCAACACTCCAGAATCGGTGCTCTGGATCAAGCATCCTCCAGACTGTATGCTTGGCGTAGTGATGGTAACGCTTCCACCGGTCATCTCGCAGGTCGTAGTTATATGACACTCAGCATCCCTGGTGTCCTGGTGCCTCTGAACTCTCTCGGCCACCGCAGGCTGGCTCTGTATGATGGCTGGTCCATGTATTATGGTAGGTGCATTAATGATGCATCCACCCCCATTAGTGTATCCACGTGGTACCAGGAGACCACCCCCATAATAATTCCCACAGTCGACTTGATGAAGACCGCAAGAAGATGGAGCCGCGACAGGCATCGTAGGGTTGCAGCATCCGGGGGCCGGAAACCGGTGTCGGCAGTTGGGACACATCACCGTCAGCATCTTGATCCTTGTCTTTGACGTGTCAGCATTACCCCACTACGGACCCACGTGATAGTCTGCGGAACAAAAGGACTCTATTAGAAAATCAAAATCGAACAAAATTTTTCAAAAAAAGAAAAATCGCCTCCAAATCATAATCCAAAAACATAAATTCCTCTGTTTATAGATAGTCCCTCAAGACAGAGTCGACCACACTATAGATCACTAGATCATCCTACCATTCCTATTTACTTCACTGTAAAATTACATCTTGTTAGGACGTACTCATTACGTGCTTAATGATTGCCGTCTGCGCGACGCTCATTCGATTAATTAATGGAACGCGTAGGACGTGCATTAAGAGTATCGAGCTGCTTGATGAAGATCAACGGCTTTTAAATCGCTTTCAATTGATACCAGAGACGGTTCGTTAGACGATTTGGTAACTGGTACCACGTCGCGTGTATAAAACTATATATATATATATATATATATATATATATATATATATATATATATATATATATATATATATATATATATATATATATATATATATATATATATATATATATATATATATATATATATATATATATATATATATATATATATATTCATTGATTAATACATTGCGAAAAAAATTACGATGAACTCCCTCTTCTCGAACACGTGCACAAAAATGCCTACCCTTATACCCGGTGTGTAGAAACGAATTATATAATCGACTAAAAAACATTCCCTGGAAAAGGCTGCTGCCTTCAGTCCGCAGGGCGAACGCTGAGCAAGGTATTCGAGGGGATTTTCAGAAGTCCTAATTTCCCTGCTTACGAGGAAGACTGGAATAACATCGTAAATAGGTATAGAGTCCGTTCGCGTTACCTCGGCAGTCAAGAATGTAAGTCAGACAATCGAACCTTCGGAGAAAAAAGTGAACGGAGTGATGGGAAAAAAATTTTCAAAAATTTTCAAAAAAAAGTCTGCCCCGATTAACGCACAAAGGAAATGCAGTATCTGGCGCGAAAGATGGATTCCGCAGAATTTGCCATTCGAATAATTGATACGTCCGGCAGAGCTGACGTGAATACCAAGAAAGTGATAGAACGATACGCTTCCCACGTTGCGACGGGGAATCATTTATAATTACCATGATAATCGCTCACGGTTGGCTTTGCTCAATGAAACCGTAAGAAGAAATAAGGTCGAAACGAGAGAGCGGAGCAAAGTTCACGCGGAGACTCGTGCTTGAATAAACTGGTCGTTGAGTAAAAAAACATCGGGAGATGCTCTACTCTCCTTTTCTACTTGCCTTAACGACCCGCTCGTATCCTCTTTCTCTCACTCGCGCCAAATATCCGCGACTCCTTTTGGTCGACTCGTATTTGCATTTTTCGCATTTCGCAATTCCGACCCATTTATCGTCCCCCGAAACGTGTCTCGAGAAGTAAATGAAAAATTAGTGGAAAATATATATATATATACACCCAAGTGCCAATATCGCGTGTATTCAGGTGATTTGGTCGTTCGCGATTCCTGGTAATGGTCACGTGTTCCTTTATCCCGTGTTCTGTCAATACGCACATGGATATATATATGCTCTTATGAATACACGGCTAACACGGTAGAGGGACTCTGTCTGTATTGTCTTAATTTCTGAGAACGAAGCTGTCAGAACACCACGTGCTGTTAAGTAAAGAGAATTTTCGCGCGTGAAATCGTGATTAACTGTTTCAATTCGTCGGAGATCGATAAGCAAAGTTGTAAAAAGTCGACGGGAAGAGATAGTGAGAAAGGCGGTATTCGTTGAGCACTTTGGAATAGTATTGAAGATAGGAAAAAAAGGGAAAAAATTTTTTTTTATATGACGGGCATAAGACTCGAGTACCTCACGGATCGACTAGTCTCTATGGAATTGCGAATTATTTGAAAGTTAAATGTAAAAGATAATCAACGAGACGTGCTGATTCAATGACGGTTCTAATCCTAAGCACGTGTGTGTGTGTGTGTGTGTGTGTGTGTTCCTCTCACTCCCCCCTCCCAGTTCTCCCCCACGACCCCCGTCATGAATGACGGTTCTAATCCTAAGCACGTCTCTATGGAATTGCGAATTATTTGAAAGTTAAATGTAAAAGATAATCAACGAGACGTGCTGATTCAATGACGGTTCTAATCCTAAGCACGTGTGTGTGTGTGTGTGTGTGTGTGTGTTCCTCTCACTCCCCCCTCCCAGTTCTCCCCCACGACCCCCGTCATGAAATTCCTATAAAGAACCTCAGCAGCCCTTGCAAGTAACAGTCAAGGACGAAGTGCCTAATATTTTTAATTACCAAGATCGTCTGTACACAACAGATCAGCCGGATGATAAGAGATAAGAAAAAGAAGGAAAAAAAAATTAATAGCGTACTGCTTCAAAGTTGTAACCTTTCGAATCATATCGATTCATCGTATCGCGGGCGACGATTAAATGGGATCTTCATACATTACGTCATCGAAGATAAAGATGCGATTCCAGGTGACGAGATAGTGGCTGATAATGAAAAAAAAAAAGAAAAAAAGTTCGTAACCACCTCATACAAAGTAATACAGTGAAACGACGTTACGCAGCGACGCCTATAACGTGCCAGTTACCTGGAAAGAGTTTCCATGAAAGTAACGACGGCGACAAGTCGCGTCGATAAATCGCGATTCCCGGTTCGACTAATTGACACTTTTCGTGAAAACGCGTTTATTGTGAGTTTCCCGTTCCTCGTACGTATACGTATATATATGCTGCGGTTAACATTATCAGCCTGACTGTGTAAATACGCCTTTAGGGCCCTCGGGTCTGGTTTCTAGATCACGATCGTAATAATCGACTCCGCAATTCCGGTCTTTGCCATATTTAATGACTACCTGGAAGTCTCATGATTTTCTACATACCAATCATAACCAGTAACGTCTACCCGCTACTCTGTCAGTCGATTCCGCTGATTTTTCCTGCATCTTCTTTCTTTTATCAGAATAAATTATTTAAACGTAATTGAATCTCGCGGACGACTTTCCAAGAATAGCTGCGAAGTTAAATGACTTCTCGTTCGAATGCCGACCAGCGCGATTCGTTGGCGCAGAAAATACAGAAGTATCGGACATACAGAAAATAACTGTAGCAAAGTCGGATCAGGTTAGGTCGGGTCGAGATATAAAATCGAGCAGACAGATAAAATGGATTAGACTATGTAATGCTCGGTTCACAGTGCGCAGGCAGTGCGTTGGTCCGTTGATGAAATTCGTGTGAAATAATCGGCACTACTCAAACGCGAGCTGCTCGTAAACGAATCCTTCGAAGCAACGTAATTGCATCAACGTTTCCGTGGAGTTGCGTAACGCATAATCGAAGGACAGCCCACGACGTGTCAAGCTGAAACAACCTTTTTATCCGGAATCAATGACTAAAAGATAATTTTTTTTTGATTATAGCCTCCGACGTAATAACAACCTACGGTATACGCGTATGATTGAAGATCGTACCGAGTCTTGATTAACCCTTTGATTGATAAAAAAATAATGGCCATAGATAAAATATTTAAATTATTATCAGATCGATGTATATATGTATAATTGCGAAAAGAAATAATATGCAATTCCCAATCGAATTTATTATCGATGTCTAATTACAATTTGACTTTGATTTTTATCAATTGTTCCAATTACGATTGATCACTCGAGACAAGTATGACGAAACAAGGAAATTGTTTTGACAATTCCACGAATATAATTTTTTTCTTTTTCATACGGAATCCACACGCAGACCGAACAATTCCATAGGAACGATCGCTTCCCGCGAATCCGGCTTAAACGTCCTTGATACGACGTAGTCGGTTGGTCCCTTTCGCGAGGCGCATTGAAATTAGCGTAATGTCAAAAAAAAGAAAGGAAACACTTCTGGAAACTGTCAGTGGCCAAATAGTAAACAGTAGCACATGGCCGTTGTATATGCATATGAAATTTTTGTGTGACGCGTGAGCGAGGACAAACTGAACTTGTGATATTTATTCTCTCTCTCTCTCTCTCTCTCTCTCTCTCTCTCTCTCTCTCTCTCTCTAGGTATCTCCTCTCTGCTATTACTCTCAGCCAGGCATACGTCGTGAATGACTATTGACACAAGTAGTCAAGATTCCCAGCGTGTTTCAAAAGCTTTGAATAACGCCATGTGACTGTGATCCGATTCGTCATGACCGTCGCGTTGAGAGTCCGACACTGGAATGACAAACTCTGTGAACCAGGCTTCGGACTACATCAGTACGATATAGATATATATATCGCGGATAAACATCGATACCGTTAAAAAAGTCCCACGCAGCCAAAGTGAAAGTATACGTATACGCTGCAAGTAGAACTAGGATAAAAGGAGCGAGCGAACTCCATAAAGAGAAATAACGACCGGAAACATATCAATAGAAAGAGAGAGAGAGGATTCGATTTTCTCGAGAGAAGTAAGCGCACGGATTATTAATGAGAACCTAGAATAAAACGGTACCGGAACAGGATTGCGATCGTACCAGGAAAGAGATCAGCGAAACGACCTAGCGAGCCTCAAGGTCCGTCCGCATGAAAGCAGTCGCGTCGTCGTAAGTCAGACCGTATCGCGAACAGCCATGTTATTATTATTCCCCGTACAGATTACATATACAATTGAAAACGACTATTGTCGTACGATAAAAAATGTCTCAGTAATACGTCCCAACTGAAATTGTCTTTAGGGTAACCCATGAAGTGGACGCAAATTTTTCTTTATTTTCTTCCGTCTATTGCATTCTCATTTCTCCAAACACGCGCGTCCATGCCACCCTGTTACTCGCCGCAAGGTTCGCGCGGCACTGAAACCGTCCGTGCGTATGCGCCCGACTTTATATGCCCGGGCCGCGCGCAGCCTGCGCGCGCACGACGCGCACTGGACAGGCACGTGTATCGGTGATTCGTAGTATTTCGTGGAGTAGCGCGAAGAGACAAGCTTCCGCGAACCGACGCCCGAGTTGAGTGTCGCAATGCCAGAAGGCCAAGCCCCCATTTAGAAGTAGCTGTAGGTTTTCTATGTACGTAACGTGCCGTGTAGCATATATTTGATATATAATATATATATATATTAGGAAGCTGAGTTTATCGTAAAATCGCTTAACATTTACGTTTACACTGTAACTTCTCCGTTGCCCATCCAGTATCTTCGTGTGAAAGAGAAGGACACTACGTGCGATACTCCAAGTCTGTCGTGAAAACCGGCTTGAAATGCTTCGACGGCCCCGAATACGTATGTATTTCGTCGTGACTCCTCGGTGACTTTACGCGGGTCAGTGATTGATACTGAAAGTGGGATCGCAGGTAACGATATTACGTTATAATATACGTACTGTGTGCGTTACGATAACGAGTTCTAATATAGATGGAATTGGAACATATATATACCGTTCACGACAAATATACCGCGATCGTAATAAATTGCGCAGCGAGATTACGCGATTCCGTTGAATGCGTGATAAGCGACAAAAATCAGTGAGATTAATAAATACAGGGTGAATTTCTAGGAGACCGATTTTTCTTACAGTGGCTGGACCCGTACGTATAAGAAATCCATACGAAGTGTCCATCATCATTATTATATATTGTATATACAATATATACACACATAAAATAACACGTACACGTGGAAGCAGCCGGAAGTTTAATTCTCAAAAGTGCCAATCAGCAGTGGCGTCTGAGACTTCCAAGAAATTCTTTAACGTCCCAAGCTGACGTCCGTGCACAGAGAAGAACTACACAAGTCCCAATTGATTCAAAATACGGGAAAGCAAAAAAAAAAGTGTCAACCATCACTTTCCTCGACAACTTCGCACAGTGGGATTTCGATTCGACAGACAAGGAACGATATTGGAGATAGCCAGTACCCGGGCCTTAGGTATACGTCACAATGCTGATTCGTGGAACCCGATGACAATACCATTCGTGCGGGATATCGTCACGATAAGGCCCCTTGGGATACAGTGTTTCTGCGAAAAGAAATATGTATACATACACGCATATACCCCAGAAGAGATCAGGAATCGAAGTATCCAGCCACTCGGTCTCTTGCGGCAGAAATTCCTAACCTAGCCTAACCTTGCCATGGTATAGGTCCCAGGAAAAGATTGAGAAGAGCTTACGAGGTCGCCGTAAAAGGGTCTCATCTGCCGCACGAGGACGAAACTTATTATTGATTTCTGCGAATCGTACGCGTAGGCCAAGACGAAGACGACGACGACAAAGTCCGGGAGAGTTTTTGAAGCGCAGCTGCCATCGTCGTTTGGTAGTAAAGACAACGTTTCAGGGCTGGAGGTTCGCTCGTAGAGTGGATATACGGAGGGAGGGGGG